TTGGAAAAATGACTCCTTTTTTATCAAAAAATATATATATATATATATATATAAATGCTAGATTTTAAGCTGCGCTTTTGGTGATTCGTTTTTATTTTTAAAAGATTTTTAATAACTATAAATTTTTATAATAATAATAATTTAATATAAATATATTAGATTATTTTTTTTCCTAATTAATAATTTTAAATTTATTAATTAAAAAATGGTTTAAATGGTACTATGAAAAAAGGTTTAAATTGTATTATATACTCCTATAGTATTTTATCTTTAAGAAAAGTCTATTATTATAAACCACCTATTTACTTCAGTTCCATTTATGTTATGGTGGTAATTTTTTAATTTTTATTTATTTAGTAATTGGTACTATATTTAAAAATCAAAATTTATTAAATTTAATCTAAATATAGTATTAGTTAGTGTATATATATAAAGAATGAAAAACAAAAACAAAAAATCAAAATTATACTAAACTAGGCGTTAAGTTACATCTACCCAGTTCTATAATTTACTCTATTTTCTAAATATAAATATAAAACCATAGGAGGTGACTTGAAATATCACAAAAATGAGACAAAAGAAATAAATGAAATACCTGTTCATTAAAAAGTTGCATGTGCCTACAACTATTGAAGCTAACCAGTCCTGGAAGATGCATTAATGTCAAGGACCGTAGCAGTTCGCCAAACTTTGGCTTATGTTCAACAATATCATTTTCGCTACCTTGCTCATCATCATCAACAATCCCTTTCAAGTTGTCACAATTTGTCACTCTAATTTTTTGCAATTGGAGAAGTTGCCTGGCTATGGAGGGGGAGAACAAATTCTCCACCTGATGACAAGATTCAATGGTAATCACTGTTAATTTGTTGAAAGCAGTTTTTTCGAACTGGCCTTGAAACATCTTCTCCAAATTAATCAAATTATGGAGAAACAATTCTTCCAAGCTGGGAAATGCATTGAGAGAAACCCCCTCTGCTGATGAGTTAATGATCTGTTGAACCTCTGATGCACTACGGACAAAGAGACACTTCAGACCTTGAAAACTTTCATTATTTGAGTCATCAACTACAGTTTTTACACCATGCAAATCCTGTAGATGTAGCTCTTCGGCCATCTCCAACAACCGTATAACTACTGCGTAGCCAAAACTTGAGGATTCTTTCAATTGCAGCTTTACTATTCTTGAGCTTTCGGAAGGAATATCCCAATCGTTGTTCCATGCATCTCCAATGAAAATCTTGCATCTCTTTAGTTTTTCTAAAAACAAGTCTTCTGGGATAATCTGAACATCACGGATACAAACCTCTAAAGCAGTCAACTTATTCAACTGCGTTAACTCAGCAAGGCTAGCATGATTTTGGTGCTCCTCATCCTCCCATTGGTTGAAGCTATTTCCCATATACAATTCTTCTAATGTTGACATCCTCGCTAAGACAGATGGTAGAATAACTTTGAGTTTGGTGCAGTTCCTCAAATCTAACAACTTTAGACCAGTCAACTGTCCAATTTCCCTTGGTAGCCGTTCAAGATCAGAGTCCAAGAGGCTAAGAACTTTCAAATTGGTCAGCTCCCCAATAAGACTTATGTCTCCCAAATTGCTTTGATCCAAACACAATGTATGAAGGTTTTTTAGGAGGCCAATTGATGAAGGAAGGGATGTAAAATGCATTTGAGTCAAATATAATACCTGGAGTCCGTGCATTCGATTTAGAAAGTTTGAAAGAATTTGCAGAGAATAGTTCTCACCAACCATATAGGAGAAAAGTTGAAGGCATTTTAACTTATCAGCAGGACCATCAGCAGGACCATTAGCACGCATGTATCGCAGAAAGATCCATTTGAAACGTGCTATTGCCTTCATGTCTTCCCACTCTTTTGGTACACAATCATCGGTTACCAGCAACCCATGACGATCCCTAAAAGCGATTGATATGGCCACATTATGAATAACATCATGCATATGATAATGCCTGTTGTCATAACCATCAATCAATGAAGAGTTTTTGAGGTCCTCCATCAAATCCAATGCTTCATCTCGTGCTTCCTCTATGGTGTTAGAGAATAAGCCCAAGCCTACACCATACTTCAACAAGTCTTCAATTAAAGCATTTTTGCCCATTAGGCTACACAGCAAAAATATTCTCTTGAGCTTAACATCTTCCAAATGAAAGTAACTGATCTCAATAGCACGATAAACATCTGAAGATATGCCATTGAAATTTTCTGCAGAGGGCTTTTTTAGTCTTCTCAAAGCATTTCTCCATGCAGCAGACTTCTTATTTTTCAGACCATGTGCTATTGTCGTAATTGCGAGGGGCAATCCCCCACATTTCTGGACAATTTCAGTCGCAATATTCTGCATCTCAAGACAACTTCTTGCTCTTTCACCAACTATCTTTTCAAACAACTTCCAAGACTCATCAGATTGTAAACGACCAACTTGAAAGACTTCTTGTGCACCCATGCCCAATAAAACATCAGAAACTCTGGAAGCTAGCAAAATTTTGCATTCAGCATATTCTTCTTTCGATGAGCTCCCCTCATTGGTCATCTTCTCATTTTCCAGACAAATTCCAAGCTCCTCTAATTTCATTACGTTCTCCCAAATATCATCCAAAATGATTAAAACCCTCTTCAGTTTCCTCAACCGTTCCTTTATACGATCAGCAGCATCTCGAGTTGTGATTTTTTCAGGAAGCAGATCTAGACGCAAGCCACATGCGATTTCAGTTTGAATCCTTTTCAAGTCTGCATCCTTTGTCACATAAGCCATAGCTACTGCATTAAACAACTCGCCTTGCTCCGCTTTTCTTTTTACTTCCTTGATAAGCATC